GCAACAGCTTGAAAGAGTTAAGCTATTGGCCTGCGTGCGTAAACATGCTTTTAACCCATTCTTAGAAAAAACGCAAGAAAAGAATGAAAAGAAAATGCATGTTGAGATGATAGCTTATTCTTTTCACCTATACATATGCACGTAGAGTATATTAAATGTGTAGCCATGCACAAGGCACGTGTGAGTATTAAATTGACAGATTGCAACTTTTTTAATTTTTTTTATATACATGTATGTATGTGGGTATGTATGTATGTATGTATGTATGTATGTATGTATGTATATGCCCAGTAGAACTTGGGAGCATCGTACGATTTCTCGGTGAGTACTCCCTTGGGAGTATACGAATACTCCCCATTGCTCCCTATGCTTCTGTGTATAAGCATGTAATTTTGTATACTCCCTTTAACATTGGATGTCCTAGGAGAGGGAGTAATCCCTTTTACCTCCTAAACGAGCAATCGGGGAGCACACACAGAATTATCATCCCACAAACCTCCTAATAGAGCAATACGGGAGTACTCCCATAGTTACCTCCCAGAAACCTCCCAAAAAGACAACAAGGGAGTGCACATAGAAAACATCCCATATACCTCCCGAACGAGCAATAAGGGAGTGCTCCCATAAGAGGCATCCCGAAAGCCTCCTATAGGAGTAATAAGAGAGCAATGATAACGAATATTTTACATTAGCCAAATGGATTTTGCTATTTATAAAATTTTTGTATTTAACTTTTTAATCACATGCATTTGTGCAGTATTACAAGATCTTAAAAATAAAGCATAAATGATACGTCTTACATAATTGCTTAATTTTAGAAATATATTGCAGAGAAATCATATGAAATTAAAACATAATAATAACAAAACGGTAAGATAAGATTTGAATTATATGCACCTATATGCACATATAAGTATGTACTCCTATATGATTTCCTGGGTGTCAAGGATGCTTGCCAGTTCAGGAATCCACCAAGCGGGGAAATTGTGAAGGTGACTTTGCTTATCTGACATCTTTGTCACCCATGCGATGTTTAAAGCCGGGGGTCACACTTAAATGCTGACACTAATTTGCGCAATCTGAAAAGTATTTAAGGTTGCATTTACAAGTAATACAATACATACTTAATATATTTAAACAAAAATTGAAGTGCATACCAACGGACTTTTATTAAAATCTGTGTGCTATCCAAATTAAATTATTGTGTGCTCCTTATGCTTCTACAAGAATTATTTTCTGTTATTTTTTTTTTGTATGATAAATTTTTTCGAAAACACAAATTTCTTTTGGGCGAGGTGCGTATTGCTCTCCTATCAATCAAAAAGAAGACTCTTGGATTTCTCGCTTAGGAGACATCACTTTTTGCTCCTAAGCGAGTAATAACGGAGTACAAAACCGACAAATCTCGCTTATTGCTCCCAAATCATGCCTCAGGGAGCATTCTTTAATTGCTCGCTTAGGAGATCTCTCATTAAGCTCCTAAACGAGCAATACAGGAGTACAAAACCGAGAAATCTCGTTTACTGCTCCCAAATCATGCCTCAGGGAGCATTATTTCGTCGCTCGCTTAGGAGATCTCTTATTTGACTCCTAAACGAGTAATAAAGGAGTACAAAACCGACAAATCTCTCTTATTGCTCAGAAATCAGGTTAAGGGGAGTACTCTTTTATTCCTCACATAGGGAGATCTCCCTTCAAGTTCTAGTGGGTGTTGCCTATGAATTAAAAAAAAAAATGGAACAGTCCAGCACCTTCGTCTTGGTCTGCGGGCTGTATCAGAGATACAGCCGCTAAATTTAAACTTAGAATACGTGGTATAGTTAAGAGCGAATCCAAGTCAAAAACGAAAGCACACACTAAGAAAAAAATATGGATAACAAAAGCGATAATAATATCGATAGAAAAATCGATAAAAATATCGATCAAAAATATCGATCAAAAATCGATGAAAATATCGATATCAAAATCGATGACAATATCGATAGCGAAATCGGTAACAGAATCGATAGAATTATCGTTAACAAAATCGATAAAAATATCGATAACAAAAGCGATAACAATATCGATAGCAAAATAGGTAAAAATATCGGTAACAAAACCGATAAATTTTGGAAAAAGTTTGGAAATCTGAATTTTTGGGGTTTTTGTTGTAGAATGCACAATATTTTTCTAAAAAAAAATGCGCGAAAAATAAAATAATCAAAAAACTGTTCCCTGTATTGCAAAAAGCTCGCTGTACCTAAACTATGATTGACTGTATTTCTTGTAGGACTTTTTCAATTTTTTTTTGTTTTTTGGGTCACTCAACACCACGTGCGACTAATTGGGTGATTACCTTATACGCCTAATTAAGGGTTAAATATAGGTACAATCAAATATTTTATCTATCATTATTTAACTAGAGGCTGACCACAGCTCAAATTTAATTAAGCAGGGGAATATCTTCTTCTTCTTCTTTTTTGGCGCTGTAACCGCCTAAGCGATTTTGGCCGAGTTCAGCAAAGCACGCCAGTCGTTTCTCCTCTGTGCCAACTGACGCCAATTGGAAACGCCAAGTGAAGCCAAGTCCTTCTCCACCTGATCTTTCCATCGCAGTGGGGGCCTCCCTCTTCCTCTGCTACCACCAGCGGGTTCCGAGTTGAATACTTTCAGAGCTGGAGCGTCGGTGTCCATTCTAACGACATGACCAAGCCAGCGGAGCCGCTGTATTTTAATTCGCTGCACTATGCCCATATCGTTGTAAAGCTCATACAGCTCATCGTTCCATCGTCTGCGGTACTCGCCGTCGCCAACGCGTAAAGGACCGTAAATCTTCCGCAAAATCTTTCTCTCAAACACCCCAAGAGCCGCCTCATCGGATGTTGTCGTCCTCATGGGAATATCATCTCCTAGAAAACCCCAAGAAACAGCTAGTAGGGTCAACCTTCAACCAATTTCTACGTACCGAGAGGAGAGCAGTGAAATTTAATATAAAATTGGGACGCTCGCAAAGGTTTTGCGCCGTTTTTGGGTTACTTTGAGCACAAATTTGGATTCCCTTTAAACAGGGAAGCGACCTGTTCAGGCCAAACATTGTCATAGAAAAGACAAAGTTATAACGCCAACAGTGATTATATTAGAGCAGCATGCTCCAGCCAATTGGAAAAAGACAAAGAAGCGGTCAAGTATTTAAGGTAGTAAAAGGTTTTGTGTGCTTTGATCTGGCATTAGCAACACCTCTAACATCAACTTGAATCATAAACGAAGAAAAACTGCTGCTATCACGCTCAACAAATCCAAATCTCGCCTTTTGCATAACCTAGAAGCATGGATAATGTTGAGCTAAATTAAAAAACTTTGGGAGCTTTAAGAGCTTTTGAGTGGACTCTAGCATTTTAAGAAGTTGGTAATCAAGAAATCCGGCACCAATGGGTGGATAATGAAAACAAGAACGCCAATGAAAAGAACAAGTTAAAAAAGAACTTCTCTAAATGTACCTAAGTGTTTTGGTGCCATCTAAACATATACACGACTTCAATGAAATGACAATGAAGCCAACTAAATTGAAGATGTTGAGCAAAAATAAGAAATTTTATTGGAGAAGCAAATACCACCTTCCGCGACATTTGTAGAAAACAAATGCAAGAAAGAACAATAACAACTGATGTATCATAAAAAATCTCATAGCATACAAAACAAATAAAATAATATTGATGTATGTATGTGATTTACACTCAACAATAGTGGAAATATTTATTTTGCGTAGTACATATCATAGACAAAAGACAATAAAAGCAATAAATATGCGGCGACACACTCTTTTAGAGTGTATCATAAACCAAGTTGAGAAAATGGCAAAATTTGCATATGTCAGCGGTTATTCCGTTGAGGTTTACAAAATATTGCCACTGTTTAGGCCTCCACGCTAAACCAAGTAACTAAACGGGTGAACCACCCTAATGTGAGAATGCACTTTCATGTAACCAAGCACACACACATACATACATGTGTATATATAGGGCCAAATAATTGCTACGCCGTTAGCACATACACATGAATGTCCTTTTACCGCTTGAATATAAAACTTCGTTAAGTTTCCCCTCCAAGCAGTTTGTTGCTTGGAGGTCAAACTTAATTGCTCAAGATTAAGCTCGGTCACTTCTATCGAGCACTTCGACCACACCGGAAGCGATCCAGCCACGACTCCTGCGTATTTTTCAAGGTAATATTGTATACCAAAAATCACAAGTCACATTTCACCAATTTGACTAATAAAGCCACTTTGTTATATATATTGAATTAATCCGTGGTGTTTGCTTTTGATCATTTCATTTCAAAATTAAACCCTTGGTGCAACGACGAGCGACATTGCCCCAAGGCGTTTTCAGCCACAAACAGGAATCTAGTTAGTGAGTTTTTATGTGTCTGCATACTATATGAAATATGAGCATGTACATATGAGAGCAAACCTTCTAGCATATTAGATTGGGTCGCCAAATTAAAGCACCTAGTTTAAAAGCCTACGTTAAGAGGCCTATGGGGTTATAAAATTTAAAAAATTGTGAGTCCAGAAAACAGCCAAATTTTTAGTTTTTCTTTATGTATTTAATTATGACTGGATTTTCGTTGATATATGTACATTTTCTAAGATCCCATCGACCTAAAGAGCTCATTAGCCTACTAAGTTCTAACTAGTAATTTTTTTCACCAGAAATTGAAATTTTTTGGAACCGTAAAAGCAATCAAATAAACAAAAAAGTTACACCGGCCTAATTACAGTGGATCACAAATTTAAGTTTGGTTTTTGTTCTCCAGACGCCACTATCCAATTTCTGTGTAGAATTGCTCGGTGATTCCGAAAATCGAGTTATTATTTTTT